ACTGGATTGCTTCTTCCTTGCCAAATAATTTGATTTCTAGAACTAAATATCTGGGAATAAAGCCCATAACTGTTTTATTTCAATTTTTGGTTACAATAAACTTAAAATATTTTCCTCTTTATGACATGTTGTACATATTATATTGTACTTAAGAAAATATTAAAATGATCTGTGTTGGGTACATTTGCCTTATAAAAGCCTGAACTGTATTTCCTCCCTAATACGGTTCTTGTTAACATTTTTGGACAAAAACTTGAAAGCTGTGAACATGAAATTGAACTCCTCGATAAGCCAGGTTTACAGAGGTGTTGATTAACTTTATCTTTGATAGATCTCAGTGGATGCTTCACTTTTGTAAAACTAAGTCACTTGCATTTAGTGAAACGGCATGATTTAACTTCAGGCAAGGAAAGCAGAACGTAGGCTTCTCTCATCTAAACGGGTGTTATATCCAGTAGCTTCATAGTCGGTAATGAAAAAGTTTTGCCTACCTGTCTACAAAAAATCTGCAAGAAAAAACGCTGAAAGAGAAAAGGCTGTATGACCATTATAACGTTTTTAAGGTATTCTTGGAGAAAATTTCTCTCAAACCTATTGATACTAAAGGCAAATTAATCTATAGCGTATATCAGTTGTCTTCTGCAAAAATACCTTACGTGTGAATACGGCTGCTTGCGTCATCTCCAGTTTAGCTATGTGAACAAACGTTGGAAGTAAGACCTCTCAACTGGTGCTGAACTACAAGAAATTATGTTTTACATGCTGAAACCCTGTTGATAACCAATTGTTAAACCTTTTATTATTTTTTTTTTCTTCATGATACTCTCTCCAAATGAGGTATTTCATGCTATACCTGTGCACCACATAGTTCAGGTTGTTGTGTCAAATAAAAGTGATTGCAGAAGTGATAGAAAGGTGTTAGAACAAGGTTGTGAAAATAACCTCACTTCTGGTGTTTCTTGGTTGGACTGTGAATGTTTGACTCTGCAATTTTAATGTTCTTTCAAGATTTTCTTGAATCTACTTACAAAGTAAGCCTATCTTTCTTGTTTCAATCTTGTTTTCTATTAACCATAGCAATGTATACAGTCAGATTAGTTGATTGATCTCTCACCAGATGACTCATACTCAGCACTTAAAGCTGGACAACGACGGACTGACTTTCCATTATTTCACTTTTTGCTTTGAGACTGATCTCATCGTATTATTGAAACCATATTCCTAACAACCACAGTAGGATTTGTACCTTACTTTTTAGGAGCTGGTTTTGCCCGTGAACATTTTCTTCCAAGAGGATTCTTGATGAAGCTTTTATATTGCACATACTACTGGAGACAGACATTTTTGGTTTCAGGATGCCCTGTGCTTGGATCTCTTTGGATTTGGAGGTGGCTTTGGAGTGATCTCTCTTTTTCAATGAGCCATCAGTAGCAGCAGTGATTGCCTTGCTGGGCGCTGTGTCTGGCACAGAGTCAGAGGCTGTTGCGCTGCTCCTGCCTGTGGTGCACGGCTTCCCCTTGCTTCCCCTCAGCGTTTGTGTTTCTGTGAAAAACAGAAAAAGCAATCCCAAATTCTATAACATAGGAACATTTTTCTTCCCAGCCCTCTAGTCCTCATAATTTTTATTTCCTGCAAAACCCCTTTCAGTCGTATATTTTAAAAGCTGTAACTGATAGGAATTTTATCATGACTGCCATGCAGCTCTATTGCAACAAAATGTTACTGATAGAAATAATCAGAGGATACTCCTCATAAAAATAAACTGCCATTCTAAATAATATATACACACTCTGATGGGCGGTGTGGAAGGAGTCAAGGTACCTCTAACAAAAACATGTGCTACATGGCTTTATCTTGTCTTGTATTCCCTTGAGAGGAACATTTATGTTGGTTAAACCTGGTCAGAATTATGGTTATGCATCCAACGGTGGCTGTGATGACAACTGATGTCCAAGCTGTTTTGGGATCAAGGTTTTAAACCCTCTGCAGTGGAGTGGCTGCATCTCCCGTCTCCAACATTTCTAGTGCCCTGTTCTACCTCTCTGCAAAGCCACAGCAGGAACCAGCAGCAAAAGGGCCCAATTTGCACACGATATGCTTTCCCCTGAAATTGTCTTGATGAGAAGGATGTTGCACAGCAGCTACAGCTGCAGGAACCTGCCATGTCAAGAGCAAGTCAGGTAAGCTCTGTACTACACACCTCGAAAGACGATTCTAGCTGACCACCACTACTGCCAGCAAAACCCTAGAAATCTGAGAAGGTGGGGAAATAAGCACACAGAAGTGTCGGTTTTCCAAGGTGCATTTTGGGCAGAGTTTTGAAGGTAGAATGGTTAAAAAAAAAAAAAAAAACAAACCAAAAAAACACCAAAAACCAACAACAAAAAAACCACCACAAACCAGAAAATGAAATCTGAAGAATTAGGGACAGCATGGAAAGGGCATCAAGATCAGCAAAGAGGGGGCAGAAAAAAGGAACAGATGGGAACCATTTGATGTCCCTGTAGACCACTCAGCAGTGGTCCCTGGTAGGCAGGCACCCACACAGCCATGCACACAGCGTGACTCTGCTCTTCCTTTTTAATCATGTGCATAAATTGCCTATTGGCAGTCCTTGTCACAGGCTGACCTGAGACCTAAAGATTTACGTAGATGGAGATGATCAATCGCTATTAAAAAACTCTGAAAGAAGGCAACTGAGAGATTTGGGGAGTACAAGGGAAAAAAACCAAACTGGTTTCAGACCTAACCATAAACCCAAACAAACCAGGCAGGGATTGTCCCATTCTATATTATGGACATAAGACACTTAATAAATGAAGGATGTTTAATGACAAATACTTTTTTAAAAGCAGCCATATAATCCTTTTATTTCTTGCAGACTCATTCTCAGCAGCTGCCCCTCTCTTGGTTGAGGACAGAGGGAAGATTAGAAGAGTTTTTCTCTATTGATCCAGTCCTTGAGAGAGGGTGAGCTAGCACATTGTGTGAGACATTTCCCTATCTCATAGTCATGAAGTAAAATTAGATCCTGCAGTGCAGCGTGGGAAGTTTTCAATCCACTTTCCCAATCCTTAGTCCACTCACAACAGATGAGAAATATTCTTTGCCACAAAATGATGGTCTTCTACACATTTCAGTGATCTGAATGGCTCACGTTTCTTTTCGATCATCCTGTATTTCTGAGGAAATCAGAGGCATTAAGGTACAGCATGTAGTGGTTTTCCCTTACCATGCAGATTAGAAAGCTTTTAACACCTTAAGTTCCTTTCTGCTAACTGCCCATACAACTTCTCAGGGGATCCTCTAGTAAGGGATTGCTAAAGATCAGCATAGACAGAAAAAACCTTCCATTTCTTTCTAATTAAATTCATTGAGATGAACCTCTTCCTAAGCAATTTCACAGCCATACAGAAAATCTGGTCAAAGCAAGGAAGTGCACACAGAGCTCCCAAATTCTAGGCTAGCATCCAAGCTCTCCCTCTTCTCTCTGGTATATTTTTTTTTATCCTTGCTTTTCACACATTGCAAATATTTGCCTTATCTTTTGTCAAAACTTATCTCTCTTCTCAGATGAAAACAGTTTTGATGTAAATACTTTCAACAAAGTGGAGAGACTCAATTTGTACATACACTCAGCTGGAACTCATGCATATACAGTGATCTGTTCCTTCATTCCCTGACTGATCCCGTACCTGCCGTTACAGACTGTGTTTCTACAAATGTTTTATGACATACAGAGGGAAAAAACATTGGGACAGATTAATGGGGTCATGGGCATCAAAGAGTGTTTGTGGGAGGAGGTAGAAACAGGCAGCACAGTAGGAGAAGATTAAGAAAGCAGCAGGTAGCGTTAAGTAACTGCAGAACGGCAGAGAAGGAAGTCTTTTCACAAAGGCAGCCAAGATACTAGAAGGATAGAGGGGGAAAAAAAAAAAAGAGGGCAGCTAAGCCACAGAAAGAACTTGAATGGAAAACAGATTATCTCTTTAAAACATCTTTTAAATTAAAATAGTTCACTGGCCAGCAGAAAGCAGAGAGAAGAAAAGAAAGTGGAAAGGAGAAAAGAGTTTCTGCTCATCCAAAGCAGCATCACAGTCGGAGATAATTTGCCTTTGTACCAAGAAACGGTTTGTGCAATGAATGTACGTGTTGTGAAGCCAAACAGCTCCTTCACTGAGATTATCAGACTGCTCAAACCACCACTGTGTCACCAGGAGAGGCTATTTGCTATGGCTGGGCATCGGTACCCAAAAATACAGCATGAATCATGGGGGTGGTGAAAACGGGCTGCAAGGTAGCAGAATAAAACAGTGGAGGCCACAGCGAGTGACGGAGTTGTCTCTAAGTCACTTCTCTAACATTGTAGGCTATGGATCTGAACAAAAGAAGGAAGAGTTGCCTGGAGTATTCACACTCCATTTACTCCTAACTACCAGACTATCTATTTGTGGATACTGGCTTCCAAGTGTAAGTACAGGAACCTGCAAGAACTGAGAATTAAGCCCCAGGAATTTTCTTACATATAGTGCAAATGGAGACAGTCTTTCCTTCTGCACTACACCATTTCCCTGCTAAAAGAAATGCCACCAGTGACATAAGGTCTGGGGAATCCCTGCAAAGCTGTGGATTGGAGAGAAAGAAAAGAAAAGGGATGAACATAATTAGGAATGGGGCCTAAAATAAGACAAAGGTGATGGCTGCTCCTTAGCATGTTATGGCAACAAAAGGATGTCTAAGAAAGAATTTTTAAAAGCAATATTCCTTATGAAATTCAGGTATAAACCCACTGCATTCTTTCTGCATGAAAAGTGTCTTCCTTAGATCTTGTACTAATATTATAACTAAATCTTAACCTTTATTAGATGCACAGTATGGTGGGGAATTATTTTTTTTAAATTAATTATGGCAATAAGAAAAGGTGCACCTTCTTTATGTCTAACATCAAAGGCAATCAGAATAATCACGGAGCCAATTTGGTAAATTCTTTCCTCTAACTCCCTTTTGAATTAACCTTTCGGTTGAAAAGGTACACTCAGGCACAGGCAATTCCCAGGAAAACACAGCAAAACAAACCATACATGGGCTCCAAAAATCAACTCACTCATCCTCAAAGCAGCTGTCAGTTACCTTAGCTGACAAATGCAGATGCAAATGATATTTAGGAAAAAAGGAAAAGGCAAAGGTACTTAAAGGTAAGATCACAGACTTTCACTCTGTACATTCTGGATCAGTTTTTAATATACTGTGTGGGGAATTAGGACTGTTACTCTCATTAAGACTATCTGGAATCGTATATCTAAATCCCCACGCACCAAACTTGAAATATATATGCCCCTCTGAGAGTAGCTAGAATTGCAACTGGATGACTAGCAATATATGTTTTTTCTATTATCCCAGCTGAAGAAAGGCTTTAAAACTAATGAACAAAGACATGCAAGTGTAATGCTTTGGGAGATACAGGAGAACGAAACTCGAAGAAACAGAAAGCTGAATGATTCCGTTAATAAAATTCAGCGGATATAGATCCTAGTTGTAAAAATTCAGCTGCTTGTAAGAGAAAAATTAAGGAACAAAATCATAATTACATTCGGAGTAAAGTCCTTTTTGCCCTATACAAGAAAGAAAAAGACAACAGTTCAATTTTTAGATAATGACTTAGTGAAAACCGTATGATACTGGAGGAGTTAAAAATGTTCTGTAAAACCGGGGGTAAGTTTTCAAAAGCTCTTTTTTTAAAGAATCCTTGATCTCGGAGTAAAATAAGTATATTGTTTTACTGTAAAGTATCTTTTTACATTTCCCTCCCTCTCCCTTCAGGGGGTTTTGCTAACAGGAAGTGACCCTGCATTACAGCAGGTTAAACTCGCCTTTCCTTGAAACATGGACAATTCAGGCAAACATACCCTTTTCCATTGTTACTTCTTTTTTTTTTTCCCCTTTTCGCTTTACAGCGGGATAATGCAGCTTTTCATACTTTCGTATAACATTCTTCCTAGCATTTCAGCGTGGATTTTTGACAAAGTGCTGCTTTGAAATTGGCCAAAGCTCATTTTAACAGATGCATGGCACCACAAATCCTCCATGACCACCAAGCAAGCCAGACAAGAGGCAGCCGGGGAAGGAGACACACAGCGCTGATTCACTGTGTGTCATTAATGCGATCAGACATCACCACTGTAGGTAGACTTTACATTATAGTCCACCTGCTGGGTTTCAGGGTTTTTTGTTGTTTTTTTTTATTTTGGTTTGGTTTTTTTTAGCTTAATAAAAGCCCCGTGCCCTGGGCTGTTGAGCTCTCCCAGACCTCCATGATGGGAACTGATGCTGCCAATACCCCAAGCAGAGAGGACCAGCAATTAACGTTCCTTAAATGTAAGAAACTTCTACCTTCTTCAAGATTTAGACCCAGGCATATGCAGGCGTAGGCTGAACAGAGCCCACACATGCCTCAAGCAGCGATCCATAATCCAAACCAAGACTCCGGCCTCCTGATGACAAAGACTGATGACTCAATTCCTATCATGAATCAAGTGTTACCA